CGCTGGCGTCGCCACCGCCGGAGCTCTGCCGAGCGTCGGCCTCGCGCAAAGCCTCTTCTTGCCGCCGCGGATGACCACGGCGCCGGGTGGCGTCGCGCCGGCGCCGTCCCGTGCCGCCGCCGCACCGTCGAAGAAGGTCCCCAATGCGGCGCGGACGAAGAAGGGCAAAACATCCGCGAAGAAAAACAAGGCGGCGGACGGCTCCGGCACCACGAAGGCGAGGGGAAAGAAGCTTGCATGGCGTTCGACGGCCGCGGCGGCTACCGAAGCGCCGGCAAGCTCACTCGTTGAGCCGGCCGCCGACGCGCACCACGTGTTCGACGAAATGCCCCCAAGGTGAAAAAATTTCCAACTTTTCTTTTCTTCTTATTTTTTCAATGCATCATCATCACATATAGATAGCTTATTTGCATTGTTCAAAAAACTTTGTAGTCTCAACGATGATGCATACATGTCCACTATGGGTGTTGGGTCCAACAATTCACATTGGTCTCAAACCAATGACATCCATTTCGAAGACCATGAGTTTGAGGTGGACGAGGAGGGTGAGGGAATTGTCGAGGCGCCGAAAGGAAGAGCGGGCAATTACTCAACCAACGATGACAAGTTACTATGCCATACTTATTTGCAAGTGTCGAGGGATCCATCCATTGGAGGTGATCAAAGTAGAGACGCGTATTGGGGGCGAATGAAAGAACACTTTGATGCTCACAACTTGAGTGGAATTGACCGCTCCGAGAGATCACTTTGGTCCCGATGGTCGACAATCAACTCGGATTGTCAAAAGTGGGCGGCCGTACAAAAGGCAGTTGACAAGATTAACCCAAGTGGCACAAATGAGGATGATCGAGTAAGTGGCATCTCATATATGTTCATCATACTTGTTTTTGGTGACCGAAGTGCTAACTTGTTTTGTTTTCCTTGTAGTACAACATTGCACAAAACTTCTTCAAAGAAGAGACAAGGACAACCAAGAAGGGGAAGATCAAGAAAGGCAGGGTCTTTACCTTGCCTCATTGCTATGAAGTGTTAAAGGATGATGAGAAATGGAAGAAGCGTGATGGTTTGGAGGATTTGAATTTGAGCAACAAACGGAAACGAGCAATTGAGATGAATGATGATGAGGAGGAGGATGATGCATCAAGTGATAACGGCAAGAGAAGCCCCACACCCAACTCGGTTTCATACTCGAAGCCAAAAAGACCGGATGGGTGCAAGAAAGACAAAACCGAAAAGAAGAAGAGGAAAGGAGATGATGAGCTCAAAAATGCTATGGAAGCTATTGTGAAGGCAAGGGTTGAAGCCAATGAGGTGAGGAAAATGGCAAGGAACCAAGATGTCGTGGCCGAGGAGAGGAGGTTGGCGGCTGAGGAGAGAAGGGTGACGGCCGAGGAGAGAAAGGTGGCTTTGGAGGAGAGGAAAGTGAGCAACGAGGAGCGAGCTAAGTTGTTGGAATGGGAGAAGCACTTATTCTTCTTGGACACATCTAACCTCAATGCGGCGCAAAAAGAGTATGTCAATCTTGCCCAACAAGAAGTCTTGATCCAAAAAAGAGTCTTGGTTCGTGCAATGGGTGGCGGTGGCCTCGGCGCCATGGGTGGCGGTGGCCTCGGCGCCATGGGAGGCAAGGGTGGCTTCGGAGCCATGGGAGGCATGGGTGCACATCCGGCCGCCATGGGAAGCATGGGTGCACCTCCGGCCGCCATGGGAGGCATGGGTGGCTTTGGAGCACCCTCCGACGCTATGGCCGCCATGGGAGGCATGAGTTTTGCTTCTCTCATGGGAGGCATGAGTGCACCTCCGGCCGCCATGGGTGCAATGTCTTTCGATGTGCCTTCGCACACACATTTCCATGAAGATGCCGTTGAAGATCTTGCCAACACCGTCGGAGCTTCACATGATGCGGTGCGTGATGCGGTGCGTGATGAGGAGAAGGAGGAAGATTCATCTTCGGAGGCGGAAGATTCGTCTTCGGAAGATGAGGACGAAGACGAAGACGAGAAAGATGAAGATTGATGTGTCTTTCATGTCTTGAACTTTAGTTTGCATTTGAACTTGGTTGGATGAACTTGTGGACATGATTTTGAACTTGTGGGCATGAACTTTTATTCATCAACTTGTTTGTGTCAAATTTCACATGTTCATTTTTTTCCAAAATATCATATATGCAAAATGCCCGGCGAGTCGCGCGCGCTGTATTTTTGTGCTCTGCTGGAACGGCGCGCGCTGCATTATAGCGCGGCTTCTAGAGCCAGCGCAGGCGGGCACGCAAAACCAGCCGCAGCGCGCGCGGTAAACAGGTTTTTTTACGCGCGGCGCTTAGCGCGGCTGTTGGAGATGCTCTCATATTTGACATTTTTCGGCACACCGACACACGCCGAAACTAACTAAATTTCGGAGTTCTCTGCTGCACCTTCGTCTTCACTTTTAGACACCCTCTCTCCTTTCTCGAGTCCAGCCATGGTGTCATACAAGGGCTTGTTCATCGTCTCGGGCTGGCATAAGAACAACAGCCCGCCGATGATCCCCGACATGCCGAACACTGCGAACGGCAGCCGCTCCCCGAGCACCACCACCAGGGGTGCAAGTATGGCACCCATCTGCGACGCTTGCATCGCGCATCCGAGCACCGCCGTCCGCACCACTGTCGGGAACAGCTCTGCCGTGTACACGGCCAACAGGTTGTATGTCGCCGATATCCCGAAGATCCCCACCACCCCGCACACCGTCCTCACCACCCTGTAGTGACATGCAACTGCATGTGGTTAATTGGAGCAAAAACCTGTCATTCCCATGCTAACATACAAGAAGGGGTCAACTACCTCGCGGCGCCGGCGCCGGCGATGAGACTGCCCGCCGTGCAGAAGACGCCGCTGAGAAGCGTCATGCCGATGGCGACTGGTTTGCGGCCGAAGTGCTGAAGAAGCATCGCGGTGAGCAGGTAAGAGGGCATCTCGGCCAGCGAGTTCAGGACGACGCTGACGTAAAGGTTTGTCTTTAGGTTGACCACGTTGAGGCTCAGCCCGAAGTACACCACTGCGGAAAGGAAGTGGATGATCACCGAGAGCACGAGCCTGATCCGCGTCGTCGGTGACCGGAACGCGTCTATGATTGTGCCCGACGACGACAGCTCCTCAGCCTTTTCTCCGGTGCCAACCTGAGCGCCGTTGACGTCGTCCCCCTCGTCGTCAAGCTTGAGCACGACGTTGTCCGGGATGCATCTGCCGTTGGCGGACGCGATGTCGCCCAAGACGCGCATGGCGTCGTTGGCGCGCCCGCGCACAAGGTACCACCGCGGAGACTCGGAGACGAACGGCATGACAGTGAAGACGTACGCAAGGGAGGGCAGGGAGGTGACGGCATAGAGGAGGCGCCATGAGGACTGGAACATCACAGCAACGCCGGCGAGGGCTGCGATGCCCACGGAGAAGAAGTACATGGTGGACATGCCGGCGGCGCCACGGCGGGAGGGCCCGATGGGCTCCGTGGCGAGGACGAAGGAGCAGAGGCCGACGCTGCCGGTGCTGAAGCCCGTGAGGAGGCGCAGCACAGCATAGACCCAGTAGTTCGGGGAGAGCGCGGTGAGGAGACCAAAGACGGCGTTGAGGAAGCAGAGCACCAGCAGGCAGCCCTTCCGGCCGAGAAACGAGTCGGAGAGGTGCCCGAACACGCCCGCGCCTGCCGAACCCACGGGATAAGTCACTTATATGAGCAAATAAAACAGCACCGGAGACGAATGGCCGACGTACCGATCATGCACCCGACGAAGAAGACGGCCTGGACGAGGCCGACCTTGTAGCGCTCGCCGCAGACGAGGCCCCACTCGGCCACCGTCGACGAGCCGCTCCCCTGCTCCCACTCCCACCCGGCCGCAGCGCCGGCGCAACGGTCGCCGCACCGCCCGTCCCCCGCGGGGCACGACATGGCCGGCTCGCGGTCCGCGAAGATCATGACCATGGTGTGCATGGCCTCCAGCGCCCACGCCGCCGTCACCATTACGAACTGCCGCAGCTGCCACCGCCCGAACTCCCCCGCGTGCTGCGCGAGGGCATCGTCGATGCTCAGGCGATCGCCGCCGCTGCTGCCGGAGGCGGCATTAGCAAGGAGCGCCTCGGCGGCGGACATTTGATTCCTGCTTTCTCTGGCGCGGGGGTGTGTGCGTGTAGGTGCTCGCGATCGTTGGAGTATTTGTAGGCGGAGGCACGTGCGCATGTCAACGGTTCTTCACAGCTAATTAATCACGGGAGAGGGACTCGTGTAGTAGTGGGAGCGTGAAGGCGCACGGCTTCACAGATCTGCGAGGTACAGTTTCACATATTTGACTTGCAGTACAACAGTATAATAGCATCTCTAGCAGATTCCGTATAACTTCGATGAAACGCGCTTTTTCCGGCCATTTTATGGGATGGCCCAAAAAACGGCCCGAACAGGTCCGCTAAAAAGGACCCGGCCCGTAAATTGTTTACGGAAGCCCGTAAACTGCCCGTGATTCCGGTATATATGCCGGCTCCGGGTCGATTTAGGGTTCCCGTCTTGTTTCTCCCCCCATCCACCTCCACCGCGAAACCTCTCCTCTGGCGAGAAATCCCTACTCAAGCTACGATTTGCGGCACCGTCCCCCACTCAAACTTGCAGAAGTGTCGATGACTGCTGGTGGTTGGGGTGGCCAAGGGGGACGTGTTGGGCTCGGCGGTGACCCACTCCTTAAGCACTGCCACGACGTGGAGGCCGGGAGCTCCTCCCTCCGCTCGCCGGTGGACGAACGGCGGAGGCAGCAGGCGCGCGACCGCGCGCCCGCTCCCGCGGCGCTGGCTATCGGGCGTGGACAAACTTCTGCCGCCTCGACCGCATCTTCTCCCTGGCTGTCGGTACTAAACCGGCAAATCTCGGGTCGAGGGGTCCCGAGTTGTGGATCTTCAAACGATGGTGAACATGAGACAAAGGGCACGATGTTTACCCATGTTCGAGCCATCTCGAAGAGGTAGTTAAAACACTACGTCCTGCTTGATTATATTGATGGTGGAGATCGAGTACAGGTTGATCTATCTCAAGATCGTATGTTGTCTTCTAAACCCTAAGGCTGGTAATTATGATTGTGTCTCTATGGACTAAACCCTATGGCTTATATATGCACCAAGGGTATCTAGGGTTACACATGATCGGTTGCCAACTAGGGATAAGCATGCCGATAGATGAAGTAGTCCTTGAAGTACACGCCAAGTCTTCGGCAGAGTCCATCTTGGTGACGTCAGGGTTCGAGGCTTCCGGAGTCCTTCCTTGTGAGATCGGTGGGAGCTTCCCTTTAACGGGGCCGCCCGCTAACCACATGTTTTAAGGGTCATATTTTGACATCTGAAGCCTTGAGATAGCTTAGCCTCGAAGGCCTGCCGCATAGGTGTGAACAGTGTTCTGGCCTCACAGCTTTTACCGAACCGTCACCACCCGTGGCACTTAGGCAAGCCAATTATTGTAGCTCGAATCGAGGACTGAGGCAGTTCTTTCTTTTTTAGAGAAAAGGCCTTGGCCCGACTTTATAAGTAAAGCCACATGACAGCGTCACAGACCTGAATAACCCAACCAGTTAGCGAAACACCGTGAATCCAGCGAACGAAAGCCTGGAGCAGGCGAAAGAAGTTTCAGAACGATACATGGCACCCAGCCATACTCGGCGCGCAGGCCGGAGGGGGAAAGGAGACTACCACCAAAGAGACAGAACCACTGCAGCAAAGATCATCTGTTTGGACCCAGCCCTGAGAAGAAGGATGCCGAAGCCCGAATTTTGGTGATGAGCACGTCCAGGGCATCTCAATCGTCTTCTTTAGTCAATAATCTCCACTGCTGCAATATGATACAAGATTTGAAAAGAACGTCAGCGGGTTTAGATGGAAAGATATGTTCAATAGTAAATTTGTTCCTAATAGTCCAAAGAGCCCAACATAAGGCACCCAAGCCAACCCAGAACACCCTCTTGGTGACCCCAACCAGAACCTTGGCTAGGGTCCTAAGCTCAGAGAAGGACGAGGGATTCCAAGAGACCTGAAGCCATGAACTGACACAGCTCCAAACGAACTTAGCCAGGACACAATGGAAAAAGATATGATCCGTGTTTTCCAAAGCACAACAGAGGTGACAAAATTCCGATCCAGGACCATTGCGCTTGCGAATCTGGTCAGCCGCAGGAATCCGACCTCTGAAAGCTTGCCAAAGAAATATCTTAATCTTAGGAGGCAATTTGGACTTCCAGATATTAGAGAATCTATTCGAGGGGGTACCTCCGATTAGCCTAGAGTAAAGTGACTTGACCAAAAATTTGCCAGAAGACGAATGAGGACAAACAACAGAATCCGGAGCCTCCGAGAGCACAGGGAAGAGGGCAGAAAGACTTTGCCAATCCTCCAACTCTTCAGGAGACAGGGAGCGGCGAAAAGCCAGGTCCCAATTATTATCCGCCACCTCCGCGATGGAGATGTCCGGCTTAGGACATTAAGAAAACAAAACCGGGAACTGAGCAGCCAGAGGAGCATCTCCACACCACCAATCCCGCCAAAAACGAACAGACCTACCATTGCCCATGATAAATTTAACATGCTCCAAAAAAATTGGTCTGACTTTGACAAGGTTCTTCCAGAATTGAGACCCTCGTCTAGCAGAAGCAAACAAGGGGCTAGATTGAGGGAAATACTTGGCCTTGATGATAGAGTACCAAAGAGAATTAGCCCCAGTAGTCATAATTTTCCATCACCACTTATTAATAAACATTTGTTCATCACCAACGTATTAATAATGCCTAACCCCCCAAGGTTCTTAGGCCAACACATAAGCTACCACTTGACTAGTCTATATTTCCGCTTATTATCCGCCGCATTCTAATAAAATGCACCTCTGTGTTTGTCAAAGCCAGCGTGAGTGCCAGCCGATAGGAGATAAAAGCCCATAAGGAACATAAGAAGGGATGAAAGACAGGAATTGATTAAGGCCACCTTGCTGGCGTTAGTATTGTATCTGCCGCGCCAAGGAAGGACCCTGTTCCCCACTTTAGCAACAGCCGGGGCAAAGTCCTTAGCAAGAAGTTTAAGAGGGGAAATTGGGAGGCCCAAATATTTAAATGGAAAGGAGCCTAAAGAGCAGTTAAGAAGCATGGCCACACGCAAGGCTTCCGCATCATCAACACCAGTAACTAGAACCTCACTCTTGGAGAAGTTAATCTTCAAGCCAGAGACCGCTTCAAAGCAAAGAAGGATGAATTTCAAATTGGCAATACACGCATCATCCAGCTCAACCATAATGATCGTATCGTCGGCATACTGAAGGTGAGAAACCCCTTCCGGAATTAGATGAGAGACCATCGGACTTATGTGACCACATTGAGCCGCCCTCGTGAGGATACAGGAAAAGGCATCGGCCACAAAGTTAAAAAGAACAGGGGAAGCAGGATCCCCTTGATGAAGACCCCTGCCATTGGCAAAAAAATTACTAATATGCCCATTCACCGACACGGTAGTGTGGCCCCCAGTGACCAACTGCATGATACGATGCACGTAAGCTCCATCAAAACCTTTCGCGAGCAGGACCTGCTTCAGAAAAGACCAACTGACCGAGTCATGTGCTTTCTCAAAATCTAACTTAAGAATAATCGCTTTAGAGCTCCGAGAGTGCAGGTCATGCACAATTTCATGCAAGGAAAGAATATCGTCTAAAATAAAATGGCCCTTAATGGAAGCAGATTGGAAGGGGCTAATAACTCTATGAGCAACAGGAGAAAGTCGGTTAGCAAAGCCCTTAGCTGGGAATTTGGCAAAATTATTAATCAAAGCAATAGGACGAAATTGAGAGATTAAATCAGCCCCCTTGACCTTGGGAATCAGAGTAATGACGGCGTAGTTCAAGCAGGAAATATCGATATAACCAAGGCAAAAGCCCTGTATGACACTGCAAACCAGCTGCTTTAACTGAGGCCAGAATTTTCGGAAGAAAGGGATAGAAAAGCCGTCAGGCCCGGAGGCCGCATTCGGGTTAGCAGAGTTAACAATGTCCCAGATTTCCTGATCAGATAGGGGGATCATCAACGAGGCGTTGTCCTCAGCCGAAACTTTTAAACCCATGTTCCAGAGAGAAGGGGAGATCGAGAAGCCCGAAGGAGGTTTCGCCCCAAGCAAAGAAGAGAAGAAGTCCCGCACGTGATCCATAATAACAAATTGGTCCGAAGACCGCGCACCATTGATGATGAGATTGTTGATGCCACAACGCCTCCTCCGACCGTTCGCTATGGCAAAAAATTGGCAGTGGGGGAATCTCCTTTAAGCGTCCAATTGAGCGTACCCTGCTGACGCCAATACACCTCAGCCTGATGGTGCAACTGCAGTAAGGCAGCCTCGAGGTTATACCTCACAGACCACCCATCCTCGGATAGTCCAGCAGAGTCGGCAGTCAAGTCTAGGGCCGAGATTTGGGTCTCGAGAAACTCTTTGGAGCGGCGCTCCTCCGCCACACGATTCCGAGACCAGCCTCTAAGAAACTTACGCAGATTGTAGGAGCAATAGTGCCAATCATCCAGAGGACCGAAAGAGCGTGAATTAGAGGAGAGCAGGTGGGATATCTTCACGGCTAACATATCACAAAAACCATCAACGAGAAGCCAAGAAGCATCAAATTAAAATCTGGCCGGGGGTCTAAGGTTAACAGAGCCATCGTCAACAATTAGAGGGGTATGGTTAGAACCGACAATACATTTGGCACCAAGGGAAGCCCTAGGAAAGAGGGAGTCCCACCTAGGACATATGAAAACTCTATCCAGAACAGATCTAATAGGGATAGCCTGGTGATTGGACCAAGTAAAGCGGGCTCCAACCCGGGGAAGTTCACGAATAGCATTGGAGCTAATAAACTCGTTAAAAGCATTCGCCAAAGGCCAAGAGAAAATATCGTTGCTTTTATCAGAAGGGTAGCGAAGGAGATTAAAATCACCCCTGATAACCATCGGGAGGTTACAGGATTCG